TTTTTTTTAAACAGGGCCTTATGGTCCTGACTCCTTCCATTCTGGGGAGCGTCGGTCCGGTTCCTGTTCCACCGGCAAGTCAAAATATGATACATCACTGCAAAACAACTCACGCTTCCTCCCGTCCGGCCGAAGGACCCCTGAACAGCATTGATTGCTCCACTTTGGGTGGAGGATTGACTGTCAGCTTGTTTAGAGTCCCTCTTCCCTCTCCGACCTACTTTCGCAGCTGTGCCTGTTATGACTATTGTGCCTAGAAAGAGGTCCTCCCCTGCTGCTGTGTGCCCATGCTGACCCTCACACCCGTCCCACCCTTATTTGCTGTGTTCTCTTTGGTCCGACCTATTCACCCCCATCCTTGTGGTCTGTTGAACCCTAAACCCTAAACCCTACCCCTCATTTAGATGCCTTAAGTGACCTCCTTTCCTCCCATTAATCCCGCCTACCAGTGATATCCAATATCTTCGTTCTCCGACGAATTTTATCCCTTACCACTATCCTCCCATTGTGAACCCCGGGATCCTACCGATTGAGTTGCTATATCCCTCCTGGCCCTTTACGATTTAACCCCTTCCCTAATGGTCTACTAAACCCTAACCCTAAGCCTTGCCTCTTGCTCATGTTAGCCCTTAAAATCTCGACCCTGGGCCTGTGCCTCCCTCCTCCCACCCTCTTAAGCAGCCTGCCTTTAGGGTTGGTCGAGTACTAGTTCCTGCCCCGCGGCGTCCTGCGGTGTTTCCTGCTGATTCTACCTGAACCATTGGAAACGGAGTGTTTTCCCCTCCAGTGTCGCTACTCGGCCCGACGCAAGGACCTTATTCTGAAACTTAGTGATTATTTCCTTGGCTTTATCCGGGTTCGTTTCCTCCTGTTTCTCCGCTTGTTTCTTAACCCTCTGCCACTGGGCCCTGATATCCGTCTCCAGTAAGTGGTACAGGATTGCCTTAGCTTCCTTTGTGGACATCCCAGTATTACCCACCACCATTTGGCATCTTCTTCTCCACACTGTCCAAAGCGTATAGGTTCGCAGCAGCTCGAAGATACACCTGTGACTTGCCTTCCATTCCCTGGGTGCCTCTGTGCCAATCAGTAGCTGCCCCTCAGCCTCGGGGAAGGGAACGTCCGTAACCCTGTCCCAGAGAGTGCGCGCCACTTTCCATATCTGCTTCGCCTCAGAGCAGGAGATGAGGCAGTGTTTCATTGTTTCCGGGAGCCCCCCTGTACACAAGGTGCAGTTCTGCTCACCGTCTACCCTGTTTGGCCTGCTCCTCCTATCATAGAGCCAAGTATTAACCGGGAGGGCGACGTGAAAGATGAGCCATTGCAGACTTCTCACCTTACCTAGTCTTATGGCTTGCAACCTTGACCATGGGAGCTGCTCCACCCGCCCTCTTGGTATCCCCTCACGCTTTTCCCATCTGATGGCAAGGGGTTGGTCCGTCTGTATCGATCTCCCTCTTAATTTATAGCCTAACTTGGTTGTGTACCGCAGGATGTTGACTTTCGTGGTTATTCCTGAAACTCTCCCCTTTATGTTCCATGCCCRCTCTGCCGGGTCTATCTSGAGTTCCTGTATGGCCRTTGTAGGAGCAAACGCCGTGAGTTCATCATCCTCTATCACCCTTATTTTCCTTAACCCATTCTTCCTGATAGCRACTGCTACTTTCGCTGCCKTGTCTAGAGGACTAACTGTGGCGCCGGGAGACAAAATAGGAAACATTTCCCCCTCCAGCCACTGATTGTCAGGACCCACCTCCTGATGTATGCGGAAAGCCTGTTCCGGTGTTGTGCTGTTGGTCCAAGTTGCCCAGTCTCCCCATATCCATTTGTGCGGTGCCCTCAACAGTTGGGTCCATTCCTGCGGGACGGAAATGAGGATGTTGTTCAGGTTTTCTGTGAGCCTGTGACAACCCTTCATCGAGAC